ACAAATTAAAATTTACATTGATACCGAAATAAACCAGCCGGCGAATGAACAGTCGAAATAAAATGCCGAGAAAAGGGGAAAAACAAAGTTCTTGTTGCCGCTGCACTTGATGTTGATGTTTTTGAGTGAAATTACACGGCCATCGCCATTGGCAAACAGAGCGCAACGAGCCAAGAATCGGGGGATCCGAGCCAGAAAGTGGAATAAAAGTAAATGCAAATGCAAACACAAATAAACAATCCGGAGGATGCAGCGAACGTGCAGAAACTTTTGCCCGCCACTGTGCACGTCCCGCTGAAAATACTTGCGGCATCGTTCAGTCGCTCATTTATTTATTTTCAGTTATTTCTCTTTTTTAAGTTTCCAGTTTCTTTCTTTTCTTCAATCAATTTTGGCCAAGAGGATGCTTAGATCTCATCTTGATGGCAATCACACACGCCGGGACAACAGTGCGTATGCTTAATTCTGTCCTGCTCAGCAAAACCCAACTCCCAAGATGGACGGTAGATAAAAAGTTTAATTGAATTTCATGTAAATTGCATTCATGAATTTGTTTTTAATTAGAAAAGTTGCCAGATCTTCAGGCTGCAAGGCTATAAATATGAAGTGGACCGAAAGTAAAGGGGTCACAGGCAAAATATTTACACATCTAAGTGACTTGCTGCAACTTTACAGATGAAAAGCTGAAGAATTATGGGTTCCTCAGTTTGTCACACACAAATTCAACCCCAATTAAAACCGAAGTAGACCACAAAATTCGGGCAGTATTCAGCAAAGACAATGCACCAATGAGAGATTGTAATTAGAAGGAAAGTTGAGATGTGTTTGTGACATTTTGTCGAGTTCAATTACTGGTCAAAATGTTAAAAGTTGCCCGGAGAAACCGCCCACAAACATGGTCCACACACACCCGAAAATTTATATACATTCCCAGACGGATAAATTGGCAAATGCCAGGCTCTATGACTGAATCAAAAAGTAAACTTTGAATGGCAAACTTTTCCAACTGCAATCTCCAATTACAAACGGGGGATCAACAAAATGTGCAAGGGACACTATAATTTTTGAGTGCCTTCACGGAGAATCGAAATCTCCGGGGTCCCCTTCCGGAATTCTCCCAGCAATCCTCTCTGGATTGAGAGTAAGCCACCTACGGAAGTTGGTAGCAGTAACAGCAGCTGCAGAAGTTAACCAAAAGCGGAAATTTATGGCCAGGCAAGATCCGATATACGGTAACAAAACAGTTGAAGGGCCAATCGGAGTGGAGCATGGAAATTATGGTAGGTGGTGCATTCTGGATGCCACTGAGCAAAACTGACCACAGAACCCGTTTACTAAATGAATTTCTGAATTATATAAACAGTCTCCCTGCGCATTTGAAACCTTTTTTTTTGTTTTGGTAGTCAAGGTAATTGAATCACAGTTTTTTGCTCAATAGAAACCTCCTTTTTTTAGCAGTGCCAATTGTTGGGGAATTTTTGCAGTTCGTGCACACAATTGTCTTGGCATTACGCACAAGTATAGTGCGTTTTTGGGCAGGGCAATCGTAAATTACGATTGCCTGGGACTTGGCCCAAGTGCGAAATGTTTGCCGAGTCAGAAGCACCCAGTCTCCGATAAACCCCGGAGGACAGAAGAGCAGCTGGCCATAAATCGAAGAATTTGAATTATGAAATCTTCCTTTCTGCCGCCTTGCAAATTGAGTGCCAGGCAATTGAGTTTTCGAGCCAGAGATGTAAACAATCGGTTTATTCCGCCTGTCAAGTGCCACGCCCCTCTGCCATTAGTCAGTATATGACAATGCATAAATTATGGGAATTATATATATGAAGTGCCAGTGGAAACATTTGGCCACAAATAAACGAATAAAGCCGAAAGTTAACCAAAGCCAGAGAGCCATAAGAAAAGGCGCCAGAAAAAGCTAGCTCATTGCGGCAATAATCATAAATTGTGTGGTTAATTAATTTATTGGGATTGAGTACGGAAACGTGCCGTTTGAATTTTGATTGTGATTCTTGCGGGCACTTGATTAACTAAATATCAACATAAACAATGCATACTTAGGTGGGCAGCCGTCGAAATCTGGGTGGGGAAAGTGGGTGACATTCATAAATCTTGGCAGATTATGAGGCGTGACCTTGGCATTGAAGTGGAATAATGTGCTCTTGCGCTATTAATAAAAGCGACAGTCACAATGTGTAACCTTTACTGAAATGATTTATTGTGTTGATTAAATAATAAAAATATTGTAATGTTTCTGTACTTATATCTAACAAATATTTGCATATTTTGTAGCATGTTGTTATAGTTTCTGCAAAATGTAGTCATTAAATCTAATCAAATTTGCACAACCTGCAACTTAAAAGCTGCAAACTGTGTTCTCTTCAATTAATAGACCCAAGCTCAGGGGATTCAAAAGTACAGCATCAAATTTCATGCCACAAAGCTCTGGTTTACATTCGTAATTTTCTGGAATTTTTAATTGTAACTAGAGTGTGTGTGTGCTCGTGCTGGTTTTCCCCGGAAAACTGCATACAAATGTATTCAAATGCAAATTTCCAGCCCTGCTGTATAATTAGGGGAAATACAATTATTTATACATACTCGTACATTCAGAGGCAAACACACTCGCTCTCACATGCTGATATAATAGTCAAATTCATTAGCCAAAGAAATGTTGTTAAAACCGCACACATACAAAAATGCAACGGGCGAAGTCTTCCGGCTCAAATAATTCATTTGAATTAGACCCGCAGAGCCAGAAAAACCAGGAAAACCCTTCGTGGAAACAACCGCAACGAAAATGATTTCTTAATGCAATTCCTTACACACTCTCGTGTATTTTTTCAGCCATTGTTCGAGCTTAAATCTCTCTCGCACTTTGGGTCTAAAGAAATTCCGGCTAAAAAAGCAGAACAGCAACACATGAGGCATAATAGCCAGGGAATACGAAGTTCCACCACCGCTTTTCCTGCCATTTTCCCATATTTTTCTTCTTTTTTCAGAAGTTGCATGCGTATCAGTTCGAGACTTCCGGCGGTGTCTTTGTGGGGCTGATCCCCGGCTAAAGGATTTTTTTCGGCAGCTTTGCTGACAGGTTGAAGGCTTCATGGATAGTGCTCAACTATGCACTAAGAAAAATGGCATACAATTTACAGAATTTGCTTGTACTAACTAAACTTAATCAAATTTAGCAAAAACTTTGTATCCTTTAGCCATTTCCTATTGTTTTAAAGCCTTTTAAAAATAAAATAAAACTTTTAATTAAGACAAAAAAGATACAATTCCTTTAGGTTCTCTTTCTGTTTTGAGTGTATTGTTTATTTATTTACTTTCTTGGGGCAAGCAAAATAAAGAAAAGATGTGGGCAACCCTTTTTCCCTGTTCAGCACAACTATCATTGGAAATCATAAATATTTATCAAACCGAAGGTGAGCTGCTTTCCCACTTAAGGTGACCTGAAAACCCAAAAGGGATCCGGTTGAAAGAAAAAGAATTAAATTTAATTTGCATACGTTAAGTGGCAGAGGCAATTAAAGCGACGGTGGCGAAAGGACAAAGGACCTGGCCCGCCCTTTTGATTGAGATGTGAAAGGAGCCGCGGCAAGGGACAAAAGAAAAGTGGGTGAAAAGTGGGTGAAAAGTGGGAAATCATAATTGGCTTCCAAATGCTTGAACTCAATTATGTGCGCAAAATTTTTGGGCCACGACGACAACGACATGGCTGCTGTTGACAGGCAAATTATGGATTCAAGGCCAATACACGCACAAATTTCGCCGGAGAAATGGCACTTTCACTTTAGGGAAAGCTCAGGACAATTTGCATAGCCTTTGCCTGGGGAAAATTAAACAACAAGCCGGAGTGAGGCGAAGGTGACATCATGACCCCAGCAGACGTGATAAATTACGCAAACATAAATTAAAGATAAATCATGGCTGCAGCTTCGTGCACACACGATTGAAATGCACAAGGAAATTTGCCCGAATGCAAATTAAGGTCTTGGCAGAGGAGTGAGATTATTGCTACACAGAAACCATACTCAGTCGAGGAGAAAGACGGCGGAAGGCAATCACACTTGGCCGACAGTTGAGAAGGAAGAAGCCAGACGGCAGCCCGAAATGGGAAGTGCAGTAAAAGGAATTTCGATTTACTTAATCCTAGTTCAACTTAAAGTGCACAAGGGATAGATAAATTATAAAATTTATTGTTTTGATTGGTGCTTATTAAAAAAATGATCCATTGATAAGTTAGTGCTTGGCATAGTTATTTGCTCGACTTTTGTACATATAAAAAAATGATAACAATTTGGCAGAGATACGGCACTGCAGCCGAAAAAAGAAAAGTCACCATTGCCTCATTTTCTACGCAAATAAACACACATATTAACTACGCATCACAATGCCTTTAAAGCTGTGACTGTTTGCCTAAGATTCCGAAAATAATTCTTCGTAATCTCAAAACATATAATTAGATTATCAAGTGCTTCGAGTGCGTTGCTCGCGTGAACGTTCGGTTCTCATGTTTAACCTACATAAAATAAAATTAACACATTTAAAAAAAAACTGTAATTTAAAAACATAAAAAAAAATAATTAATTTAGTTTAAGAAAATAAAAGCGTCTTGCAGACTTAATAATATTTCTTACAACTGAGGTTTTGTTCATTATTATATGGTTGAAGTGGGTTAATATTTTGAACCGCCTGACCGACGCTTATTATCTGAAATTTGGACATTAACACTGAACATTTCAAGACTTCGACCAACGTCAGAAAGACAAATCAGTTGGTGCAAAGTAGTCAAGGCAGCAAGTCGTGGTATTGTCTTGAAAATAAGTGAACACCTGGATAACAAAGAAATTATCACATCATTAGAAGTTCAAATCTCCTCGGCTTTAATATTGGAAATTCAACGAACATAATGGAAACCTTATTAAATAAGGAAAATGTAAAGTGTTGTTGTGATTTGAAAATAATGGTTTATCAATAATTGGAATTTTTTAACTGCTTTGCAGTATGAGGAGGTGAATATTCCGGTTCCCTGGGGATTTATATCGGGTCATTGGCATGGAAGCCGAACGGAAAGACCTATCCTGGCGATTCATGGCTGGCTGGACAACCTGGGCACCTTTGATCGACTTATTCCACTGCTTTCCGATCACTCAGGAATCCTCTGCATCGACCTTCCTGGACATGGTAGATCCTCTCGCCTTCCTCCAGGGGTGCACTACAATGTCTACGACTACGTGTTTATAATTCCGAGAGTTATGAAGGAGTTTGGCTGGTCGAAGGTCTCCCTGATGGGTCACTCCTTGGGCGGAGTAGTGAGCTTCATGTACGCGGCAATGTCTCCAGATACAGTGGACTTAATCATATCCCTGGATGTCCTGCTGCCCCGCAGAGTCGAGGATCCCGGCAAGCTGACCAAGGACATCGAAGGCTTTCTGAAGGAGGAGAAGCGACACGCGGATGGCACAAAGCAGGAACCCCCATCGTTCACCCTGAATCAAATGAAGAATGTCCTTGCAAAGAGCAGCAACAACTCGGTGCCAAGCCACTTGGCTCATCACATGCTCCACCGACAGGTGACCAGGTCGCAGATGTACCCGGAAAAGGTGTTCTTTTCCAGGGATGGACGTGTAAAGTTCTACCACATATTCGACATCGAAGAGGGACTGGCTGCAGAAATGGCGAGGCGTATTAAAAAGAAGCCATACTTGGTGATCAAGGGATCGCTTTCCCCGTTCGTGGGACCCCGCTGCAACGAAGCCATATCAGTTCTCTCTGAGGGCAACCCGCACTTTGAATTATACGAGGTGGAGGGCGCCAAGCATCATGTGCATCTCCATGCCGCCGAGGAATGTGCTCGCTATATAGTGCCCTTCATTCAGACTCACAGAGTTTCGAAATCTAGTAAGCTCTAAAAATTGTGCATTTTTGGTGGTATTTCAAATTAAATTTTTATAATTAATATTTTACTATAATTAGTAAGTTAATTAATTAGTTGTATTCCAAAGTAATAGTATGTAATATATGTCTGTCAAACAAACAAATCAAATACCAAAAGCTCTAAAGATATCTTAAAGAGAGTTTTAGTTATTGGTATCATCATTAAAATATGGCCACATTATCTCTGCTCGTGGTAAGAATAATAAATAAACCCCTCGAATATGTACAGCTTAAGCCTTGATCAGTTTGAAGACGTAAACATCGGAGTGCCCTGGGGTCACATTTGCGGCAGATGGTATGGCAACCGAGTGGAACGACCGATCCTGGCGATCCATGGTTGGATGGACAACTTGGGTGCATTCGAACAGCTGATTCCGCTGCTCCCCGATTATTTGGGAGTCCTCTGCATCGATTTGCCGGGCCATGGCAGATCCTCTCGACTACCAGCGGGAATGCACTACAGTGTCTACGACTACGTCTTCATTATACCAAGAGTGATGCGGGAGTTCGGCTGGCCGAAGGTCTCCCTGATGGGTCACTCCTTGGGTGGCGTTATGAGCTTCATGTACGCCGCTATGGCCCCTAAATCGGTGGACATGATCATATCCCTCGATGTACTGCTGCCCAGAAAAATTGGGGATCCCGGCAAGCTGGGCCAGGACATAGAGAAGTGTCTGGAGGAGGAGCAGAGGCAGGCCGATGGAAACCAGCACGAACCGCACGCCTACACCCTCAACCACCTGCGGCAAGTGCTCGCCAGGAGCAGCAACAACTCGATTCCCCAGGACATGGCTCATCACATGCTCCGCCGCCAGGTGACCAAATCGCAGATGTACCCCGAGAAACTGTTTTTCTCAAGAGACGGACGGGTGAAGTTCTACCAACTATTCGACATCGAAGAGGGTCTCGCAGCTGAGATGGCGAGGCGCATTCAAAAGAAGCCCTATCTCATTATTAAGGGAGCCCTATCTCCGTTCGTGGGACCGCGATGCCAAGAAACGATATCTATTCTATCAAAAGATAACCCCAACTTCGAGTTCTATGACATCCAGGGCGCGGGCCACCACGTCCACCTCCACGCAGCCAAAGAATGTGCTCGCTATATCGTGCCGTTCATAAGAGCTCATAGACCTCCATCGGCTTGGAATTATTGCAGCAAGCTTTAAAACGGATACTATTTTAATTCTATTATATGTTTCTATTTGTTCAATTTTTAAATGTCTGCTGGTCAAATCGCTTCATAAATGTCTTGTTTTAAAATGTTAATTACTTTAAGCACAATATTGTTTTGTCAATCACTTGTGTATTTAATAAAATGTAAGATTTTAAATCACTTATCTTGCAAAATGTTTCGCACGACAAAAGTATTATTATTTTGATCACAGCTGTGTTCCATATTTTTTAACTTTTCGAAAGAAATATCAGGGTTATTTACCCTAAAAGCTTGAGCGAAACCGTAGGTTAGTATAATGAAAAAAATAAAAAGCTTTTCTCCTCAGAAGAATTCCAATCAGTCAGCATTTAGCGGTTTAGATGCAAGTACTCAAAAATAAAAAAGGAAGTACAAAAAATAAATAAATTGATATCAAAAACATGGGTACTTTACTAAAATAAAAAGCTTTTCTAAAACAAAAAATTCGAATCAGTCAGCATTTAGCGGTCGAGAAGTAAGTACTCAAAAAAATAAGTAAATTGATATCTTAAACATGGGCACTTTATCACTGCAACAAGTGAGTAAACTAATATTTAAATTAAAAAGATCAAAAGCTAATCTCGTTGCGACTTATTGCAGTACGAAGATGTAAAGATTGGGGTTCCCTGGGGCCATATCGCCGGTCGATGGTACGGAAATCGAGCGGAGAGGCCGATTCTGGCCATCCACGGTTGGGTGGACAACCTCGGCACCTTCGATCGCCTAATTCCTCTGCTCCCCGATTACCTGGGAGTGCTCTGCGTCGATATTCCTGGACACGGAAGATCGTCTCATCATCCGGTGGGAATTCGATATAGTTCCGAGAAATTCGTGTCGATAATTCCACGGATCATGAGGGAGTTCGGCTGGAAGAAAGTCTCTTTAATGGGTCACTCAATGGGTGGGTTCCTCAGCTTCGTTTACTCAAGTCTGGCCCCGGAAACCGTGGACATGAACATAAGCTTTGACCTTATCGTACCTCCTTTTTTGAAACCCGATGAAACAATTAAGTGGATAAGGTTTAGCCAAGAAAAGCACTCTTGCCTGGACGAACGAATGGGGAGAGAAAACGCTGTTCTTTCTAGAGAAGAGTTTTTAAAACTGATCGAAAAGGAATCCTTCAAATCTATTTCTCCCTCCGTGGCCCATCATTTGATGCATCGGGTTGCCAGTGAGTCGGAAGCTTTTCCGGGAAAGGTTTTCTCCACACGGGATGACCGGGTCAAATACTTTTCCAAGATGTACCTATTGGATCACAGACTAGCAGAGGAAATGGCTCGAAGGATTAAGCCGATGCCGTATCTCATTATAAAGGGCAGCCAATCCAAATTTATTGGCAACCACAGCTCCGATGTTATTTCCCTGCTTTCAAAAAATAATCCAGACTTTGAGTTCCATGAGATCGAGGGCTCGCATCACGTCCATCTGAATTCCGCAGAGGAATGTGCCAAATATGTAGTACCCTTCATCAGGCGATATCATCCTCCTGGCAAAGATCTCAACCACCGATCAATTCAGTGCAGCAAACTGTAGGGTACAAGAAATTCCCAAATTTTATAACAAACTTTATCTGTGTTTTAACTAACTTTCTCTAATAAGTGAGTTCTTTGTTCCATTACCGTTTACAATCAGTCAAGAGTTGTGAGGTCTTAAGTATCAGTCTACCAGACATTTTTTATTAATACCTAGCGTTTATAATACCGGTTGCATATAGACTGCCGAAAGCTTTTCGGTTCTTTAAAGCTTTTTGATTGTTTTGATTTTGCGATCTGACTCAGTTTTTTTCAGCAATCAAACAGACAGCACGTGAATAGTAAGACAAAGTTTTAAATATAATTAAAATAATGAATTAACTTTGGACGTTAACTAGAAGCAAAACACAAGAACCAATTGTGAAGTTTTATAAACAAATAAAAAGTGAAAGTGTTCCATCTCGCTCTTAAAATGGTTTATTATTATGTATATATATGAAACGCTTTCAGTGATTACTCGCCGCTCTTAAATTTCTCTCTTCGGAACCCAATTAAAGCGTTCTCTTATTCTGCTTAAAATTGTTGCTAAACTTAAAGGCTGAATTAGTTCCTTTTTGGTTGTGAAAGAGCAAAGTCGCTTAAAAAAGTTAAGTTAAGTTTGTGCATTATCATTCAAGATAGTAGCAAATGTATGTGACAAGAAAATAATAATTAAATCAGACCATTCGTTGAAAGTAATGGGGACATTATCGTTGAGCGATGTAAGTACACCTCATGTCTGCTTCCGAAGTATAGTACTGACCTTTGCCCGCCAATTACTAATCTGTTATCTTTGCCGATTAATAAGTGGGCCAATCGAATTAAAACTGTCAGTCATATTAAATCAGGCACTCCCCTCCTATTCCCAATTATAGTTCGAGGAGGTGAAGATCAAAGTTCCGTGGGGATACATTTCGGGTCGATGGTATGGGAACCGAAATGAGCGGCCTATCCTGGCCATCCATGGCTGGCTGGACAACCTGGGAACCTTCGACAGACTGATCCCCCCTGCTTCCCAAATACATTGGGGTACTCTGCATCGATCTGCCAGGACATGGAAGGTCCTCGCACCTCCAGCCGGGAATGTTCTACAGTGTGTTCGATTACGTGTTCATCATCCCCCCTCGTGATGAGGGAGTACGGATGGTCAAAGGTCTCGCTGATAGGACACTCCCTTGGCGGAATCCTGTGCTTCTTTTACGCCTCTATGGCTCCTCATACAGTGGACATGATCGTCTCCCTGGACATACTGATGCCATTGAGAATCAAACCAGAATATATGGCTTTGTCCATCGAGAAGCAGTTGGTAAATGTGGAGCGGCAGACGGAGGGAAATTATAGTGAACCGCCCTCCTACACTCCTGATCAGCTGGGAAAAGTCCTGGCAAAAGGAAGCTTCAATTCCGTTTCCCCTGATCTTGCCAAGCACCTGCTCCACCGCCAGTTGGTCAAGTCGAAGCTGTATCCCGAAAAGTTCTACTTCTCCCGGGATATTCGAGTCAAGAACTACCACTACGTAGACATCGACCAGGGTCTAGGTGCCGAAATGGCCAGACAGATTCGCAAGAAGCCATATCTGATCATCAAGGGATCACTGTCTCCATTTCTTTCGGAAGGCAGTAAAGAGGCCATTTCTATTTTGGCAGAGGACAACCCACACTTTGAGTTCTACGAAGTGGAGGGCGGAACCCATCATGTGCATCTTCATGCTGCCGAGGAGTGTGCGAAATATATTGTGCCCTTTATCCAACATCATCGGCCTCCTGCCTTAACCTCCTGGACATTAAATGGAAAAGAGGATAAGCCTAAGACGAGGAATCCGAAAGGATTCTTTACTTGGACCAAGAAAAAGCGCAGCAAATTGTGAAACCCAATTGTCCTTAAGTATATTTTAGATTTTTTATATTACTGAAGATCAATATCTTCCATGTATAAACGGTATTACTTTCTGGTGAACTACATTTTGTTCGCATTAAACATGTTTCTAAACCAAAGTATTCACAATAAATAATTGTTAAGAAACAATTCTAAATTGTTTTTGAATTGAAAGGTTATTAGATTTTATTGCACTTTTCTATAATCTATCATTAAAAGGTCAATGACTCAAAATCCTTGGTTTAATTCTTTATAACAGAATATGCAGATAATACACGAAGTGGTGCCACAATTTCTGGACCGAGTCTAAAAGCCATTGCCGGGCAAAGTGCAAAAGCCGTTAAGATGAAATGTTTGTCATTGAAAGATATGAGTAAGCAACTTTTTTGTATTTTTAAAAGAAGTATATATTAATTTAAAAGAATCTATAAATTTATATCAAATGAATAGACCTCTTAAAGACCATTAAAACAATAGTCTGAACATATATGAAAAAAAATATTTTAATAAAAAAATTTGATAAAGTTCGTAAATTATTTGCTAAGTTTTGGTTCTCTTAATAATTTACTTTCTGCTCTTTAGGTTTTTCACACTTTACTATCAGTACTTTCTCTTTAACAAATTCTCTTTCGTTTTCTTTTTAAAGCGAAAAAATCGATAAAGCGAACCAGTCGGTAAACAGCTGTCGCAGCGGAAAGAAGCAAAATTCTGTAGTTCCAAAATTTTAACTGAAAATTCTATGTTTTGGCTAAATACGTAAGATAATTTTGAACGTGGTACCACCATTATTGGATCAAGTGTTAAAGTTTCCGACGGGCAAAGTTCAGAAGGCCGGTCGTGATGGGAACTTTGTCGTTGAGCGATGTGAGTAAGCACAAAAAATAAACATTGAAGCTAAGAGAAGAGATAAGCTGACTTTGTTGGCTGTAAACAATGATTTTACTCTTTCAAACAATCCGATAATATTTATGCAAAATAACTTGAAAAGTTAAATCTTTTATTTAAACCGAAATCCATTTATTATTTTATTAAATATTTTTTTAATTTCTTTTCAGTTTGAGGAGGTAAGAATCCCGGCACCTTGGGGTCACATCTCAGGTCGTTGGTATGGTAACCGCAATGAGCGACCGATTCTGGCGATTCACGGATGGCTGGACAATCTGGGCACCTTCGATCGCCTGATTCCCCTGCTGCCGGATTACATCGGAGTTCTCTGCATCGATCTCCCCGGGCATGGAAGGTCATCTCACCTGCAGCCGGGAATGCACTACAGTATTTACGATTACGTCTTCATAATTCCCCGCGTGATGAAGGAGTACGGCTGGACTAAGGTTTCCCTGATGGGTCATTCCTTGGGGGGCATAATGAGCTTCATGTACGCATCACTGGCCCCACACACGGTGGACATGGTGATCTCCTTGGACATTTTGCTGCCCAAGCCATTGGTAGATCCCGGAGCAGCACTTTTTGAAGCGGCCAGAGACATGGAAAAACACTTGGTGGAAGAGGATCGCCAAGAACAGAGTAATCTGCACGAGCCCCCGTCGTATACGCTATCTCAGTTGACCAAAGTCCTCGCCAAAGGGAGCTCCAATTCTGTGACCACCGAGTTCGCCAAGCACCTCCTCCACCGCCAGGTGGCGAAGTCGCAATTGTATCCAGACAGATTCTACTTTTCCAGGGACGGAAGAGTCAAGTACTACCACTCCATCTTCATAGAACCCGGACTTGCTGCCGAGATGGCCAAGAGGATCCGAAGAAAGCCTTACCTGATCATAAAAGGATCGAGGTCTTACTACGTGGGAGATTGTTGTGAGGAACCCTTCTCTATTATGCGTGAAAACAACCCGCACTTTGAGTTCTATGAGGTTGAGGGTGGCACCCATCATGTCCATCTTCACGCCGCAGAGGAGTGCGCCCGGTATATAGTGCCCTTCATTCGGCATCATCGACCTCCGACTTTGACTTCTTGGTCTCTAGCTGGCAAGGAGCAGAAACTAAGCTTAAATGATAAACGTAAGGTTCAGGAGAGATTCTTTGAACGGAGTAAAAATAAACGCAGCAAACTGTAAGATACTTTCGTTGCTTTTCTTTGGGGGATTTTTTTTAATGGTTCAGATACGCTTAAAAAAACTAAACTAACTTTTCTAATTTTGATCATAATTAATTAAATATTTTTCCATATTTTCACCGATCAGATTGGTTCTTATGAAATGAAATAAAATGATTTATTAAATACAATCAATCAATTCCACGTATGGATTTTGTGGCATTTGACATCCAAATTGGCAGTTTTTGAAAACGAAATACTAGGCGAACAGAAGTGCCACAAATCGCTGAAATCATTCGGGCAAACCCAACATATTTAACCAAATCACACTTTGAAGTACCAGGCGAACAGAATTCAATAGCAGGTGCCTACTCTTAAGATTTTCCAATTGCTCCCAAAAGTATGGGAACAGGAACAGCAGCTCAATTTGTATAAGCCCCTAAAAGTATGATAAAATTTCGAAAGCTCCAGTTTATTTTATATAAGTTTTACATAATTTACTATAACTATTCCTTAGGCTAACGATGTAAATTTTGGATTAATCCAGGTCTTGTGTGTCTTAGATCCGAGCCGTAAATTAACTATTGTTCAATTTAAAATCCAACGCTGTTCGCTGCTTCGGGTGATGCCACGTGAATTTCTTCCAAAGTCGGGAGTCCAGTTCGCAGCAGGCGAACTGTCTGCTCTTCGCCACAGCCATGACCTAAAAAACAATCAAATAAGAATACATAAGTTATAATTAGTTAATATTTGGAGTTTTTTTTAGATTTTATGATAGAACCCCACTCGAAACTTCCAAAAAATGGTTGCTTCCACAACTTTTTTATTTTAATCAGATTTGACATGCCTCTAAAAGTATTTTCTTTTCATTGATTTTATTTAAATAAATAATTAAATTCAATTTCATGAAAATCGGGCGACCATATCATATAGCTGTCATAGAAATAATCGGTAAGAATATGGAAAAAGAAAAATGTATGTAATTATCAATCGATAAATAAAGTCAAGGTCTCAGTAGACAGTCCTTAATCTGAAAATATCCTTCTCCCCTGAGGTCCTTGTGCAAGAGCTCCCGCTGCCATCCGACTTGCAGTTTAAGTAATTTTAAGCAGCTTACAGCTTGAGCGCATTAGAACAATTAGCGCTGTCGATGCTATGGATTTCTGTTCGAAGGAACGCAAAGGTTAAACAGCATCGAAAGTTAAGTGAAAATACATATACGTTGTTGAAATACAACCCAAGATTCCTTAAACGGTTGTTAAAGAGTGGAAATAGTTCCAAATCCAAGCTATGCCTTGTAATTAGCTAACCAAATGAATGAATGCTAAGTAAATACCCGAACTTCTAGTCAAACTTTTTGTGCCCACAAAAGTAGGCTGCTTCACTGGAAATGAATTTTCCAGCATCCGCAAAAGATTTCCGCCGCCTACTTTTAGGCCGAGTAAAAAAAAGTGAGGAAATATAATTAACAAGTGGCATACATTAATTTAAACAACAAAGTGTTTCGCAGGAAGTTGTTGAATTTTAAATATTTGTTTTGAATAATTCTTGTCATACTGCTGATTGGCCATTTAAATATTTATGGCAGAAGCTTCCTCTTTGTCTCATCGCTCGGCTGACTAACTCAATCAATTAACGTTCGAGTGGAAAGGCAAGAAAATTTGCGAAAATTTCGTTCCTTCACTATCGATTTTGCCATTTTAGAGGGTAAAACCCCCGCACTTACACCTACCATATACACGTGGCAAATTTCAGTTGTAATCAGAGACGCCGCAGGGTTTCCCTCCATTCATTTTTTGGCATTTCGAAGGTGGAAACCATAAAGCCGCGCCGGCATATGCCTAGATTTGCAAATTAAAATGGTTTGGGCGGCGATTCCCGGCTCGTGTGCACTTAAATTCCCTTTGAATGGCGGAGAAACTTGAACGCTTTCCGCCTCCGGTTTCAGCAACAATTTCTTTTGGTGCGATATTGGGTTAAGCAGCCTTAAAGAGGTTGAGCGAACCGTTTGAGGAACGGATCTGCCGGGGATTTGGGTTTCCCGAGCTAATGGCCAGGAAAGTTGATGAATTCGCGGGGTAACCGTGCGCAGGCACTTAATGAAAGTGAACGAAAGCCTTCGCTTTCACTAGATGAACAGTCCCGCAAAATAAAGATTTATGGTAAAATTTGTGCAGAAATTTAAGCCAACAAAAAGTTAATATGTAACAACCATGTTAAATAGGTATCCTTCCTTGAAAAAAACTTGAAAACTATTACCGATAATACTTTTTTAACATAAGTTCACCTTCTTCTAACAATATGGAATTAAAATTATAAAAAGCTTAAGAAACCACATTTAAATTGAAAAGTTTAGCTACCATAAACTTTAACCGCAAAAGGGAAAAATGTCCAATGTAAGGTCCGTAAATTTTCCGGTCAAACTTTAAAGCGGTTGCGATGCGGCATGCATCTGTCCAATAAACATCACCTGGCACACCTTCAGTTGGGCCCATAAAATGGCCAAAACTACCGCATTAAATGATTTAAAACGAGCCACCGAGTCACTGCCACAGTCTCACGCTTGGCCTGATTGAAATGAATGGGTGGAGGCCCTTAAGCCAAATGAATTATGCAGAGGCCTGGCGTGGGGCTTAATAAACCAAACTTAACTTAACGAAAACTGTTTAAAATGCGGGCCGGCCATCTCGAATATTCCCAGCTCGCCGCAATAAATCTGAGGCCACAAACTGCACTCGATTGCCCTGCCGCATGCAACGTTCGCTTTTCTCGGCGAAAACGTGTTCGCAATTTTCGCAATTTTCTAATAGCTGTTAAAGCTGTCAGGGGTAAGCGGTCTGGTTCTAGTACTGCTCGAGGGGTATTAAAGAAAGGAAAAAAAAGGAAAACAACGCTCCACGTCCGATGATGCTCCGTTGCATGACTTTTTGTTTTTAGCTCGAGCGGAAGTGCTTTCGACGCCATTTTGCGGCCGGCCATTGCAATTGAGTGCAGCTCCGACTTCATCAGCTTCCCGTTCCGCCCTCTTCAGCCGTCAAGAATCCGTAGGAGCTCAAGGATACGTGCTCGAGCGCACTGGCACGCACTTTAAGTTTCATTAAACAGAACCATCGCGCCTAGGCCTCCGAAGATTGCCTATAAATTCATGGAAGGCAGTGAAATGGAAAGCGAAATCTGTGACAGGACGCTCTGGATATTGGATACAGTGAATGGCCTTCACCACTGAACGTTTTGTAAAATAAATCTGTATTGAACACATACATTTTGTTGAACTTTAAACCTATTGCTTGTATTTCATTTTTGTATTGGTTATGCCTGGCAACTCCCGAGAGTTTACTGTACTTTGCAACCCTGCTGACACAGCAGCCGTTTGCATTTCAGTGGATCCGGCCTGTCGTGGCGGGGATTCCTAATGCCAGACCCACATTCCTCGGACGACCATTAAATCTGCTACAATTTACTTGTGATTGACATGTTTATAAGGGTCGTAACCCACAGACCCCCTTCTGCAGCCCAATTTTTCCAGAAACTTACCCTTTTCGGGCCGAGATATTTGTTTTTGTCTGCTTTCATAAACAACTGGAGACCGAAACCGTTCTGAATTGCTCTTCCTTTTTTTCATTTACTCCACAAAATAAATCATTGATATTTGCGCTGTCAGAGAAGCATACTAAATATCCTTATGCATTTTCAAGTACTTTTCTTTTGCCAGGCGGAAGATGGTGAAGTGGACAACAATTCCTGGTATTGTCTGAAATCCCATGCACACAATTAAAAGTTCCCACGTCAAGTGATACATGAATAAAACAACACAAAAAGTGCGTGAGATGGGGAAAATAATTTAGTCGAAGAGATGATGCCCTGGAAAATGCCACTTTGTAGCATAATATATTATTTATTTTGTTTTCTTTTTAGGAAATACATATTTAAAAAACACTATGTTGCAAATAATTAAATAAATAACTCACTCACCTACATTTATTAAATTAATTCCCACGTTTAAAACCTTCCCACCCATTTTTTCATCACACCCATAAAAGCCAAGAAAATAAGTGGATAAAAGGAAACAAAGAGAGTGCTCCCACAGAATCTCCGATATCTCCATCGGCAGACAAAACGCATGTTTTGTTTTAATTTTGCACTCGCCGGAAAAGAAATCCCCAACCGGTTTTTCAGGCGCCCCAAAAGAAAAGGGCAGAACGTGCGGGCAATCAGCCAGTGCAGCAACAAAAAGATAAATACAAATACTACAAAGCCACGGTCAATCGAGAGGCAACAAAAAAACAGCTGACACGCAAGCCACAGCAACTCGAACGCACTTCGAACAGCAACTCGAACTTGAGGCCAGGTTCGCATGGATCGTGGTTAAGATCGAAATCAATGGTGGCTTTGGAAAACTTTCAGTTGAGCGCGAGAATCCCACGCGGGCAGACGGGGCGGATGAACGATATCGAGGTCGCTTCGGTTTTATTCAGGTGTCGAAATACGCGAGCGATAAGAACCTGCCCACATTTCGAAATCCTCACGAGTAAGACCCCAATCGATAGGGAGTCGGAGGCCACGAACCCAAGTCAAGTTAACCAACATTAAACAACACGCAAAATGAACTGAAAACTCATTTCGAAACAGCTGAAAACATTTGTCAGCTGTTAAAACAAATTTTGTGTGGAGAAATGCTAATGAGTTTCGTTGTTGCTGCTGAACTTTTCAATTAATTTAACAGCCCGCCGTCGTTGGCATAGATCTTATCGCCATATCATAAAACAAAAAATAAAAGCCGAGCCGAGGAAAACAAAACCGAAAAAGTTCTCAAGAAAGTTTACCGAAATTGAAAGAAAACAAAACAGCAACTCAAACGGTTGTTGTTGTCTATTTGGGAAGTGATTTTTTAGGCCGAAAGGTGTGCCCGATTCCAAAGATCCGAGGCATTACGCGCCCCGCGGGGTTCTCAATTTTCAGCCACCCTTTCCGTGAATTTTTTCGCTGAGCTCAGTGGGATATAAAAATATAGACATAACTCTGTTTGCGAGTTATTTTTGCTCTGACATTTAAAACCAGAAATATGTATGCTTCAATCCGGAGTTGCTGCTGCAAGGCTGTTTTTACCTGTCGTCTGCCATTAATTGAAATTCAATGCGAAAGGGGCGTAGTGAAGTGCAGTGAGGAGGGGCTTAAGAGGGGGAAACCAAACCGCTAGGCTATGACAATTATTACAGCTGCCCAAAAGCGGCCAAAGGAACAGGTTGCTCACTGCCCGGCCATCAAAACCCGGAGCTTAAGCCAAGTAGTGCAAATTGCTTTGCCAACATAGAACACAAAAAACGGGAAAGGAAGTTGGGTACAACAAACCGATCTTCAAATGCTCTTAAAAATGTATACTATTACTTATACTATTACCTTATACCTTAGGTATAAATGTATGTAAAATCAATTTTATTAATAGTTAAACAATCTTGAAAATAAAATAAATTAATTTTTACAGGATTACTTTATAAATATGAGATTAGGCAGATCTTCTTTTCGCTACGCAATGTTTTAAATTGCTTACAAAAATGTAGAAGATATGGTACCTTTATAAACTGGCTTGAAGAGTATAGTAAAAGCGGAGCAAGAACATCCGAGGAATGGCAAGAGTGAGAGGCCGGAAAAGAGGCATCGACCACTTACGCATAACTGTAAGATAGACTGCCAGCAAACAGGATTTTTTGCACGTACTTCTCTTGCTCACAAGTGAAAGAATTACTTGCCTCTTGTGCCCCTCTATGTGGCACATAGTGTTGTTGCAGTGAGCCCGGCGCGCCCCTTATCAACCGACAAATTAAGTTCAAACTGCTGCTGCTGCCCGGCATGGAAAAGAGCTAAAGCTTCAATTTGTGTCAAAATACTCATGCGCAAAAATGGAATTTTTCCATTAGTCCCCAGAGATAGAGACTCCAAACAAAAAAAATAAACACAGCCAACAAAAAAACTCTTAGACTAACATGAAAATAGTGAAAATCATGTGGAGAGACTGGCTAAGCACTGGAAAAAATGTCGATAAATTTAGGGCACTCCTATTTGATGCACAATAAATCATTCAAAAATATTTTTATTTCGAGTTTTGAATTATTTTTTCGGTTTTATCATAAATAGTTGTTATTTTGAGAGTTTTATATAAATATTTTTAAAATAAATTTAAAAGTTTCGGTTTACTCTTCCTTGAAAATTTGTTTCCTCTGTATCGGAGTAAAGTAAAGGCAACCGAAGTTTCAGGCTGCAACTTGTCAAACGTGTTCCCCAACAAAGTCTCGCGGCATTTGGAAATGTGCAGCATTGTGCAGCGGCAAGAAAAACAGCAGCAGCCGCAGCAGCAGCAGCAACGAAAACAACTCGCATAACTGTGACTTGTATTAATTTTCAAGCATTTCCAAGCAGCTAACAAAAAGAAAATCCCAATCCCGCATGTCTCAGCAGAAAATGTGCGGCGACAAAAGCTTCAATTAGCATTTGAAGAAGCCGCATCATCGCGATCCCATCGCCGAGTCCCTTCAGATGGAGGAGGACGTGCTGAACGCCCTGCAGACGCGCAGCGCCTACTTGTCCGGCGGATTCGATCGCCAGAAGCGCATCATCTTCGTTGTCAACGCGTTCAACGATCTGCAGCTCTGGAACCGCCGCTATCTGCAGGTGACTTTGGACTATCTGAAGCGGTCTCTCAGGTGAGAATCGGGAATTAAGTGGTCTTGGTGTGGCTGGGGCACTGCCAACTGAAAACTGAAAACAGAAAACCGGCGGTGGAAATGCCGACGACTCATTAGCATATGGCCGAAATATGCAAATGGCCCGCAGATGATGAAGGCTTACTTTTTTGTCGTCGTCGTAGTCTCTTAATGCATTACTTTTCATTAGACACGGGTCTCTGGGTTATGGGCGCGGTGTAGGCCCCACGAAATCTGGTTATTTATATGCGAAGTGTCAGAGCTCTCAAGCAAATTAAACGTTTAAGTCAGACTTAAAGACAGATAATTTCTGTTGAATGGAGCTCATTCAAAAGAGTTGATTCCTCGGATATCCTATAACTTTAATTAAAAGCATCTATAACTTTAAATGATATAAGACTAATTTGTAATAACGATCTTGAAGTATACCGATATAAATGTTTATGAAATGCTTATTTTAAGAGTCCAATCTGATACAGCATAAAATAACGAAGAAGAAGAAATTTTATAGGTATTGTAAACAAGAAATGTTTAACACTAAAATTAATTTATTAAAATTATATACCCGATCTAGCCCACTTAAAGGTCGAACAACAGCCTATGGGCTTAGCGGACCCGCCTTTCTTTTGTTAGTTTCCCATTTTGGTTTCGTTTATTTATTGGCACACCAAGCAAATTGTTTAATTTTACGAGGTAGCCATCAAACACAACCTTTTAAAGACAGGGAAACGGCCACATGAATTATGGATATTGCGATTGTGATCAATCAACTGTCAATGGGTCACACAAGTTCCCCCAAGAAGCGAGTGGTTAATTAAAGCCAAATCTTAACTGGCAAGCTAATGAAGCACTTAAGAGCGCTTTTCTCCGACTCGAACAGATTAACCATCTCGGCATCAATCTCTTTCAGCGCCTCGGTCTTGCAGAATGGAGTGTGTGTGGTGGTCAATGCCCAGGAGAGCAGTTCGCGGATCTCGCGGCAGCAGGTGCGCCAGATATACGCCCTCTTCGGGGGCGACATCAATGTGGATCTGTATCTAGTCAGGGCGGAGGGCTTCTGGGAGAAGCACGTGGAGCCGTGCACCAAGTCCCAGGTGAAGGGAGAGGTAAGCTAGTGACCCACATTTGCATTCACTTATGAATGCACTTTAAAGTTGGAACTAAGATGTTAAACAAAGTCTTACAAGTTATCATTTAAAGCAAAAGCTATAAATAATTTCTTTTTGGGAATTATTTGCATTTTGAAGTGTACAAATAAATATTATTAATTGACTCCCATATACTTTATAAGTAGCTTACTTTAAGCCTTATGTTTGTATTTGAATGACTTAATGTTATATTATATTTTGGTTTAAAATCCAAATATTTTTTTCTATCTGTTCGCAATTAGCCGCTGGTGCTGTCCAAGGCGAGGCTGGGCAAGTTCATAGAGCCGCAAAACCTGCCCGAGGAACTGGGCGGGACCTTGCAGTTCAACTACGATCTGTGGCTGCAGCAGCGCAAGGTAAGTGCCCCAATTTCTGGCCCGTTCGAACGGCACCTAATCGCCGTGTTTTCGCAGTCTATCGACGAGTTTACCAAGTGCCATGTCCAGACTTTGGCGTCGATGGAGCGGCTGCTGTCGCTGCTCCGGGAGCACAGGTCTCTCCGGCCAGCGGAAGCGGATGTGGAGCTGAAGAAGTGCGCCCAGTTGCATGCCGGTGTCCAAAACGACATAGAATCCGCCATCGACATGGGTGAGTCGAGTTCGTGGCTCGAGTCTTTTGTTTTTGAGCTGGCTTTTTTCGTTCTGTTTGCCTGCGAGCAATTAACATAATTCGTTTTGCCCTCGAAGCAAACAAGTTAGCGCGGCAGACAGGCGGAGACGGGGAGAAAGACACACATGTGACAAGTAAATCATTGAATTTTGTGTGTGTTTTCAATTAGAAATGCGCCACGTTTGGCAAACTCGTTTTTTGCGCCGTTTGTTTGTCGTTTTTATTGTGGGCTGATTTTAACGGCGCTGAATAACATTGAAATTGCCTATGGTGAGCTTAGAAACTGAGGCCTACGGAAGGTCTTTCAGAGGCTTTAATAGAAATTCAGTTAACTTAAAGGTATAGAGGCGTTGAATAAGCTTCGGAATTAATACATTTTGATTGATTGGATATCATTTCCTTTTATCTTTTCAATTAAAAAGTGACTAATTAATATATAAGAAAATAAGTCAGAAGAGAAAAAGCTTATCAAATTAAACATGAAAATGAGCTAGCTTCGGCGAGCTGAAGTTGATGTACCCAAAAATCGAATCCTAAATAAGGATGCAGTTAATTTTGAGGTATACCAATCCAAAATTGGACATTATTAAGAAATGTTATGGACTTTTAAGTGCTGCTAAAAGTAAAATACCTTTTGCAAGGGTATAATAAAGAGAAACCAAGAACATTCATTCATTCCTACACTTTTCTGGTTTCGTTAGGTTATTTTGGAGAATCATTTGCGGTTTGAGCTCATCTTTCCCCTGGGCAAACCGTGCTCAACAGTGTTCACACTTCAATTTAAACAACGACTTCAAATTCGGTCGAATTCTTTCTTGAGTGCGTGGGTTTGGCAAAGCAGCAGCCGCAGAAACAACGACAAACGTGACCTTTCACTTAAAGCCACAAAAGTCGGTGATGCGCAACGAAATGGTGGCACATGCCACAGTCGACCGCGCCAGACTCAGATTTAAATCCACTCCGGGAATGAGGTTTCACTTTTGTGGATCTGTGAATAGCGATAGATGCGATCCCCCCGCAATGAAAGGCCTAGATTACACAGAAAAAAACTAGCTAGCTATACATGACTTATCATATGGTAATTTACATATGTTGTAAACAATTACTTTGAAGTCTCATACATATATTTACTAGTTTATATTTGTTTACTATTACAAAAATATATTTATGTTTTATGTTTTGGGTGTGTAATTTTTCGAAGTGCACATTTCTCATCCCCTTTCCCTTTTTCTCTTCCACTTTTCAACGACTGCTCGTTGTGCATTGTGCAGGTAACGCGATCTTGGCCCGCTTCAACGAGGTCTACGAGCCGCATTCAGCGCCGCCACAAGCGGTCGCACCTGCCTCGGAGTCCCCGGCGAGCCCCCAGCCGATCCCCGGCCACTCCGCCACTGGGATCCCCTCGCAGAAGCCCCGCCTGCCGCCGGATCTGGTCTGTGAACGGGCCCGCATCGAGTTGCGTTTGAACGAGATCGAGAAGAAGCAGACGGCCATCCGGACTGCCTGGCTGGAGCTGCTGCGATCTCTGAGGGAGGCCAGGGAACTCAGTACCTTGGAGGAGGGCGTGTCCTTCGTGACCAACTGGATCCTGCAGCAGGCGGAGCAGTTGCTGAGTCGCCAAAGGAGCGTCGCCGGCGATGTCCGGGGCTGTGAGATCCTGCGGTCCGCCCACGATCAACTGGAACTGGAGTGCCGGGAAACCTACGGTTGCTATGCGGAGTTGCTCTACAAGATCGAGAAGTTTGCCGGGGAAAGGCAGACTTCGCCGAAGGACAAGGATCTGTGCCGGGACCTCCTTTCGCAGAGGGATTTCATGCAGTTCGTGTGCCGCTCCTTCGCCAAGAGGTTGGAGCGACGGAGGAATGTCCTGATGACGGCGCTAAGGTTCCACCGACTCCTTGAACAGTTCGAGGAGCTGCTGACCACTGGCAGCCATGTGGTGGAGGTGGACAGTCGATCCCTCGATTGGCCCGAGGCTGATCAGCTGCTCATGCAGCTGAAGGACAACCAGCAATCATTGGGTGAGCTATTGAAAATTTATCAGCCTCCGTTTTGACCTTATTATAGTTGCTATCTAAATTTCACGCTTTCCAAAATTTGAACACAAATTGTGAGTTCACCTAATAATAATGAAACCTTGTGCTTTCAACTTTCAAACTATCGAACCATGACAAAAACTCGTTAAAATTACTATGATAATTACCATACTTATGTGAATATGTGAACTAAAATTACACAAAAAATACTATACAATGATTTGCTTTTAAATATTCAAGAATAATTGTGAATAGGAAACAGGAAAGTGTTCTGATGCAAATATCGAGGTAGAAAGTCTTTTCCATCGCAATTAATACATGAGGATCCAAAAGTTTTAGAACGAACTTAACAGTTAATAGCCCTAAATACCTTAGATACTATAGATAATAAAAATCAGCTCCAACTCGAACTGTAAACATTGCGAACGGAGACTTGCAACATCCAACCGATCTTATGACATACGCAACATCCAACCAATCTTAGAAAGCCTCAACATCAAACCGATCTGTAAATGAATATCTCCAACATCCACAGGCCACGTCGAGCGCGAACTTGTGCGCGAAGGTGAAAAGCTGAGCGACATGCTGGCGATGCCGGTGAAAGACGCTCTGGGCCGTGACCTCCAGCTGGACTACAGCCTCGAGATCGCGGAGCTGCGCCGCCAGATCGACGAGAGTCGGCGGCGTCGTCAGGTGTGCGGCCAGCGGCTGGCGCTGCAGCGGCTCACCTTGGAGCAGGTGACCCACATCCACGCCTACGAGGAGGACGCGCGGAGGGCGCGCGACTGGCTGCAGGAGCTGTACGCGGTCTTGCTGCGGTGCCACTCCCATGTCGGCTGCAACATCCACGAGATCCAGCTGCAGAAGGACGAGCTGCAGGGGTTCGAGGAAACCGGACGGGTGAGTTCTCCCCCCTTTTTTTTTGGAGGTTTGTTTTTGGGAGGGAGATGAAGTGCTCCACAAATTGGGAGGCAGAGAAAGAGAGAGCCAGTTCGGCTAACGGCAGAGTGACCGATAAAGTATAAAGTCGTTTTGCGGCGGAAAATCAAGGCCTCACAAGGTTGCCTTTCTAGTTTCTCAGCTGGCCCATGATCGTTATAAAGTTTACTATCTAATCAAATTAAACATGAAGCATTCACTAAATCCATTTCAATGTAAATTTCATTTGTTACCCAATACATATTTACTTATTAAGTAAACAGACTACTTACTATTAATCTTATTTAAGAGTATCTACCATTATGGCTGTCAACTGTTGGAGGCCTCGCAAACCCTGCGACTCTGCTGCAAGTTGGATTCTTCAGTAGTAGAGTCCACTCCCAGACAGAGCATGATCAGTGATGAGCTGCAGCACACGTGGCACAGCCTGCAGTCCGTGGCCCAGGAGCAGATGACCAGGCTGCGGGTCTCCGCCGTCTTCCACCGCAGTGTGGAGGCCTACTACCGCCAACTGAGGGAACTGCGGCCACTTCTGACCCAGGAGCTATCTGCCCAGTTGCAACAGCAACAGAGGCAGCAGCACAATCGCAGCAGCAGTGGAATCAGCAGCGATGCCGAGGGAGAAATCGAATCGGAACTATCTCCACTGGGAGAAATGCCTCCACGACTGCAAAGGCATCTGGTAGCCAGGGAGCAACTGCTCGTCGAAGTGGGAAGAATGGTCAGGTTGGGCAGACTGCTCAAGAAGCGTCTCAAGGAGCCCTTCGTCTTGGATGCACTGACAGGAAAAAGGTGAGTTCAAGTGAATTATAATACCCAATCATCTTGCAGTTGCGTGAGTGCTTGGACTTCAACCTTGCGCCGGGGCTACTTGATTATGCTCAGCGCATAAAACTCAGAAGGAAAACCGCCAAACGTTCTGCATATCAACTAAAACATGAGAAAGATTTTCACTCAAATCCCACGAGTTCACGACAAATTAACTGCGAAAAAAAGCAACCAAGAGCACAAGAAACTAACAAGTTGCTAGAAATAAAACTAAAAGAAATGACAAATGGGAACTTTAATAACCAAAAGCAAATACAACGTGCCAATACCCTATAAATGTTATTGCTGTTGGATAAATATAAATATATACCCAAAACAATTAAAAATGTCTAGAAAATCCTCTTGTTATAAAAACGTGTACAACACATACTAAATGTCTCAATTAAAAACTAGAGAATTGCAGGGATAACAACCTATAAAACCAATTTAAAGGCCGATCAAACCGCACAAATAAACCGCAAGAAGACAAACGAAAATAATTTTTGACAGAATGAAACAAATGTCAAGCGGCAGCGACGCACTCAAAAAGTTCCACCACCCAAAAGTCGAAAAATGAGCACAAAAAATATTGAAATAAAATAAAAGAACTATATAGCAGACTACTATATTCCGCCTAAGAGTCGGCGTCCAAATCCAAGCAGTCTATTTCAGTGCGTGGTCCAGTGCGGTTCCGTCGTTCGGTCCTCTTTCGATTCGGTTTTTCGGTTTCTCAAGACAACTGTCAGTTTGTCAAATTAATGGAACACTCAAGAAGAATATATATATAGTGCACGCTAGATAAAGAGTGAATTTCCTGGAGAACAGGCGTGACAAGTGGGTCAAATCGGGGAGCATTGTGATAGGAACGTGTTAATTATAGAAGTGTCTTCATGGTTAGACACTCTCACTTTCTCTGAACAATAATCCCGGCAGTGAATAATTGAATCCACAATTATCAGAGAGCAGCAGCTCCCTTCAACTGGCCACTAGCCAAAAGCGTGTTATAGCGTCTTACGTCAAACTAATTGTTCTCCGCCCAAAAAAGCGGCGCCAACCAGACAACCAACTCGAAAAAGCTCAAAATGTTTGCCAGATTTCGCAATTTGTTTGCCAAATCAAAGGGCGATGATGAAGTTGAGGAGGAGGTGACCACCAGGCCGGAAGTGCCAAGTATTGTGGTGGACGAACCACCCAATGAAACTGAGATTCCTGTGCAGGAAAGTCCAACTGAATCCCCAAAAGAGAGTGAAGCTGAGAGCAGTGCAGCTGCTCCTTTGGCAAGTGAAGAGGAGGATTTGGCAAGCAATCCGGATGAGGTTCTAAGTGAATCCTCCAGCGATCTCAGCCGACTTTTGGAGGCCATAAACGAGGCCAGCAAACTGCCCGAAGTGAGCAGCGAGGATACCCAAGGCGAAGACGAAGACTACGAGGATGATGACGACGATGAGACGGCCAGCACCTCGAGTGTGAAGACCAAGATAGCCAAGGCCTCTATAGAAAGGGACATTATCTTTGAGGAGACCGAAGAAGAGGAGGACGAGGTGGATAGCGGGCCGCCCGTCAAGAGTCTGGACAAGATCAAGGCTCTGATTCGAAATGACAGTGAAACGTATCCCCACAGCGACTACACGGATAACGAAACGCCTTCGCACTCACGCACTGCCTCCGTGGATTCGGGAGCACCCGATAACCCCCGACTTTCTGGTGATTTCAGTGTTGTGGCCGACGAGTTGCCCCTGGACTGCAGCCCCAGTCCACTGCACGACAGTGGCAGAACCAGCAGTGCTGGCAGCGAGGCTCCTGTGGAATCCTCTCCAGCCACCGTGCAGGTGGTGCCCACGGGAAGCAACGAGCTGGCCTGCGCCGCCATCTCCCACAAGCTGGGAGCCATTGCCGAAGTGGCCGAGTCCCTGGACGCAGTCATCCGGGATGTCCAGCAGCAGGAGGCAGCCAACGGCAATGGAGTCGCCAATGGCACAGGAGGTCACAGCATCAAAAAGCTGGGAAGCATTGAGGTGAGCTACTAATGACAATGTTTATAAAAAGAAATATATCCACAACTTCAGTTGTAAAAACTTAAAATAAAATATGAAATATAATAAAAATAAAATATTTATATATGTAAATATATACTTATATCCTCTTTGCTAAATTCCCCTTATTTTTCCCCCAGGACTGGCAATCCCGCTCCACCGAGGACGAGTCCTTCGCCACCGCCTCCGAGGGCAACTTTACACCCAACTCGCACTCCTCCTCCTTCCAAACAGCCTCGGGACGCACCAGCTCCTACATCGGATCGGCCAAGAACTCCTTCGACGAGGCGGACGACTCCACCTTGAGCACCTTTGAGATCCCCGAACTGCCAGCCTCGCCGGTCAACATGTCCTTCGACAGCTCCGAGCTGAGCTACTTCTCCGCCCATCAGCAGCGAATGAAGAGCGAAGATCAGGACAGTGTGGTGGGCGTGGCCGAGTTGCACAGCCAGAGTGTGACGCCCACTCCGGACGAGGATCAGCAGCACTTGCTGCTGCCGCTGCCATTGCCCCAGGCAATCGAATCGGACAGCGAGGTGGAGGGATTCAGCTTGGCCACGGGGATTACGACTGAGATGGCTCCCAGGATGCCCAACGCCCACACGCCGGAGGTGAGCTATCGATCCGCTGATAACACCGCTCCGGCTTCAACTAACCCCAACGAATCGAAACCGCCGACGTCCTGGCGACGCAGTAAATACTACGAGAACATAACGAAGCAAACGATCAAGGGATTTCTCTGAGAGATCTGCTCCACCTGTCCCACCTGAATGATAAAAACGAAATGAAAACGATTTCCCGCCCAATTAACCCGCGCCATTTGCTTTCTGCCGATGCTCGACATTCTTGCCATTAATTAGTTGGCATATTATTTTTTGATGTTTTCCCAAAACTTATTTTAGCCCATGAGCTAAAAGTTTTTCCTCCGTTCTGTTTTGTTTTGTTTGCTATCTTACTTTGCATGATTGTTTTGCCAAATTTATTATTTCTCTTGAACTTCCGCTTAAAAGAAATACTAAATTGTTTTACTTTTGTATGTTCTTAGATATGCAATTTAAATTAGCTATTTTCCTTCTTTATCAAATAGTTTTTAACTTATTTATTTTTATAGTTGAAATTTAGTATAAGGCTTGCAACAATTAGAGAATTCCAAAATGCTTAAAGACATTCGTAAAATTTAATGCATTTTTATAGAATAAGAAATTATATTCAGCTACGACCAGTCGAAATTTTCGCCATTCATTTTGTATTTAATATTTATTTATAAATGTTTCTCCCCACAGTCACAAAAAAATAGTGCAATTAATATTGAAACATGTTTTACCCCAAAAAATAAAGCTAATCATTTAATCTTTTACTTCTGTGAATAACTTTCAACCTTTTCAGCTTCAATTCTAAACTGATTAATCGTTTTTAATTTGTTACACAAGTAAGTAAAGGGAAAATCCAAAATTAAAATTTATTTAACGACATAGAAAACGTTGCATAACCTTAGGCTGGATTTGAGAAAAGTCATTGCCACCATCTGCTCTTAACCCTTGGGTGCCCTCTGGACTTTTCTCACTCTGAAGATTTTTTTTAATTTTCCCTCTGTGGGTGGCCCTTCCCTAAACATTTAGCAAGTGGTCCTCAAGTGATTTCAATTATGTGAAATGTGAACTGTCAGTGCACGAAAAGGGGGAACGGGGTCAAGAGGGGTTGATTTTTTGAGCCCCGTCAAGTGGCTCATTAATCTCAATTAAAAACATATAAATAAAACGTTCCGAGTGCGGTGAGTGAGTGGAACGAAATCATACTCAACAAGCTGATCATCCAGAAAGGCGAACGCATATCTACGAGATTCTTTTCATGCCATTCGAGCTGATTTTGTGTGTGATGGCGCTGAAAGAATAATTTGATAAATTTGCACCGTTGATAGCGAAAAATAATAACACACAACTGGATGATATTGATTGCTGCATGAGGCATGCAATAAGCGATGGATTTTGCACGAAGCCAAAACCCAGGAAAAAAGCCAAGCTGCAGACACGCATTTCGGGTGGAAATATTTCATAAATATGGTTTGGGGGATTGGGTATCTTGGGAGATGAGGGGATTGCAATGCGGGCGGTCAGTTTGCCGTCTATTAAGACACGATACCGTCTGGTTTCTTTTGAGGTTCTGGTGTTGTTATTTTACTCTTGCTCCCTTCACTCTGTTATTAAAGCACCAAAGCTGCACTTGAACATATTGTGGTTTGGGTGCCCTGTTTTTCATAGGGGGTATATGTTTGAACCTAACTTAAAGGGGAAATATATTAGGAAGCACAAATACTGATCCAAAACTATGTAACTATATCGTTACTTAGACAAATTTCCCCAATGAGTAATGATTATTTTCCTATATATTTTCTTACAACATAAAAGTCAAATAGGGTACCAACCCTTCGTTATCCATTTTCCTCACGAAACTCTCTTCATATCGCCCCATACCTTTTGTTGGTATTGTAATTGCTGAAAAGCCGGGCGCAGGGCATTAAAAATTGAAATCATGAATTAACGACGCCGCGAATGCCAAGAGCACTTGTTTATTTATGTCGTCCCCCTGAAACCCCCTCCTCTTCCCTCTCTTTCTAGCCTCGTAACCCCTCTCTGTCACACACTCTTTTCAAAATCGAAGCCGGCTTTTTGAAAACTGAGCTTGACGAGAGTCGGGAGATGAAAGAGAAATCGCTTATATTTGACTGAGCGAATCGGTTAAAACACATCTGCTCCACGCTCTTCTCTTTCTGATCTGCTGCTGCCCGTAGAATCTGCTCAGTCTTCGGTCTGCGGTCTTCAGTCTTCGGATCTTTGGTCAGTCTTGTTCGAAGTTCGCGGCGTTCGGTTGTTCGGCTGTTTGGAAAGCGGCGAGCGCGTTTAGTTTTCCACTTCTCCTCCGTTTAAATAATGTGCGAATAAAAACACATCTATGTAAATTGAGTTAGAAAAAAAGAGGAAGAAACAATAAATTCGGCACTTCAAAAAAGAATGAAAATATATATGTATTAATCAGCAATAATTTAGCTAGAACATTTTTGGCATTCAAAAACGCTTGGCGCTAGTTTTTTTGTGTTCACTCGTCGTCTAGAGATGAAATCAACAAAGTGTGCTAAATTTATTGTTGTTGTTAAAAATACGGTTTTCTGACGACCCTCACAAAACGAAACAAAAACAAAATGTTTAACAAATAATCGACACAAAATGCGAGCAGAGAATTATTTTTTTTAAATATTCAATGGCTTTTTGCATTGAAAATAGTATATGTTTGAGTCATGTGCAATTTTTGTTGCCTTTTCAATACACTTTAACAGTTCACGCCCCAGAAAATTTCAATCAACAGCTTCCCTATTTTTTATTTTGGACAACAACATATGGATGCCAAGCATTTCCTCAATTGAGCTACTGTAAACTTTTATAAAAGGGAACTTGCTCTTCCCAATTTTTTGTGCGCTATTTATTTTTAGCCAGCACAAAGTACAATTAAAATAGTTTACATTACGCCAGCAACGTCGGCGGCTATTAAAAATTGAGAGAAACACAAAAATTAGCTAATTGAGGCAGCTGGCTGCACGCTAGCATACACGGCGTATGCGTAATCTATTCAAAAATATATCGAAAAATCCATGAAAGATGACTGATGACTCCTGCCAATGCAATTGGCACATGTTACTGATCTGACGCACATCCGTGTGCTTTATCTCGGACTATTGGCGATAGCATATAGCTGTATCTGTAGTATCTGGGCTAAAACAACAGTTTAGCTTCGTGGCAGAAATCGCCGCAAAAATTACTCAATAGTTTGTTGTTTTAAAAATAAACGCGAATCGAGCATTGTTTTTGAGTCGGGGAAGCAGAGGGGCTAATAGTGGGTTCTACAACGAGACTAGCACACGCATCAAAGCCAATTTTCTCAGGCTCAATATGCAAAAAGTACACACGGTTCTCTCGCCATATATATATAGAAACTATACAATAATAAACAGACAGTAGAGCGACAGGGAGAGCACGAGTATGAAGTCATAGTCGCGGCGGGCAAAAAAGAATTCTCCGTTTCGAAAATCAACCGATTCGCAGAGGTTCTCAGACGATCGCCGGCGTTGATAGCGCTCGCAACGAAAGCTAAGGAACCGAATCGAATCGAATTGAATCGAATCCCCTGGCCACAACTAACCCAATAATAAAAAATTAAATCCGAACGCGAGTGACTCAATTTAATAGTGCCTTTTTCGAAAGCAGAGTTCAAAATGCAAAACACGCGAAACAAGCAGGGGAAATAAGCCGAAATACGAGAAAAACTAAACGACAGAGATTATAGACGCCCACGCAAAACACACAAAACTAACCAACAACAACAACAACAACCAAACCACCCAGCGCAATCCTCGAAAGTTGTAAGAAAGCAAAGAAGAGAAGAAAAGAGCTGAAGAAAAGCAACCATGGAACGCCGCCAAGCCCTAGACTCATCGATGTCTTCGCTCTACTCGGTCGCCTCCTCCTCGAATCCCCGCCAGCCGCAGACCGTCCAGCTCCAAACGCAGCACTCGCAGCAATCTCAACAGTCTCAGCAGTCGCAGCTAGACGCCTTCAATTATTCAGCAACAATGTCATCATCGTCGCCGACTCCCAGCCAGGCCCTGTCCACAGCCATGTCCACGGGCACCACCCACACCACGCCGTCCACCTCCCTCAGAGCCACCACCATCGGCACCGTTGTCGTCCGCTGCGGACCCATCCAGCTGGTGATAGCGCTCCTACAAGTGAGTTGTACTTCTTGTACACAAAGCAAAAAAAAACGTCAAAAACAACAAAAACTAAAAACGAAACGAAACCAAGCACAGCACACAAAAATCGCACAACAAGAAACACGGCCAAGAAATGGGAAACAAACATGAAGAAACATTTATCTAGATACGGGAGAAGTGTTCGGAGAAAGCTCTTGAAGTGCGCGTAAATTTATGCGGAAAGCGATATGGGAGGACTCGGTTTTAGATTTGGGACAGAGCAATGGGAGATCTTGAATAAATCATATGTCCCTGAAAGCTAGAAATCATTTCCTTAGATGGTAGTTTGAGAAACTAATATTTTAAATCGTAAACTAAGCAAAAAATTTTAAAATACTTTGCAAAAGATATTGATAATTCGCATTGACCGATAATATAAGTTAAATTAAATTGTACCTTGCAATTTCAATTGCGAATGAGATAATCTTTTGAATGACGGCATAAACTATTAAGTGAAAATGAGATGAAACCTGTTACTGAAGGCATCAATGATATTCAAGTGTTTTTAGGCTATGATGTTCAGAATGTAACGAAAACACATTTCTCAGAATTCATATCGTAGTTGATATAAACGATTCAGCATAGTTTGTTATCAAAACACCAGCCATTAACAGCATACAACTATTACAATCTCTTGCAGACACCAACCTAATGCATTAACAAACTGAACCTCCCACATTTAGCAACCTTAATTGATAAATTCCAATAATTATCCAATGGTCATTACATCAATCAAATTATGTGGCCAAGGGGGTGGCCGAAGGCAACTCTGTGACTTTAGCACTGAAAAATTCACGGGCTCCTAATGCC